CCAAAGAGAGTTGGGAAGAACATCTTGATTGAAAAAATAATTGCAAATGTTTTAAACCTTCATTGGCATAGTATAGATAGGTTAGGATTAGAAGTGTTTCGACAAAATCTACTGTGGGCGAAACTGAGCTTTTAGGCATCACGTCCCGCTGGCAGACGGAAATATAATTGAATGTTGGCTTTCCAATTCAGAACCTGAACTCCCGTTTTTACATCCAAGACAAAGCATTACACTCACAGCCGCTGATGAATAGCACTTAGTTTTTATAGATACCGACAAAACGTTGGGATGTTTCATTCTCAAAGCATGTACAGTAACGGCATCGTGTTACTTGGAGATCAAAGAAGAGTTGGCTTATTTAGATTGTCCGCTCTTGGCGTACTGGCTAGTGCATTGTCTCGGAGATATTGGGTTCAATCCTCCAAACAATGCTACAGACTTATATCCTGGGAGATTTGATGGCTCTCTGTGATTGTTCCTGTCTTTTAGCAGTTAAAACATTAAAACACAAAGACGATTTTTATCAAACATCCAAACTGCGTCAAAAGAGTTGTAAGAGAATGAAATAATTTTACTACAACCTCACGACTCCTTAGAGATCTAAAGTTGCACGCGTTGCAAGGTAAATAAAGCTCCTATGTCCAAGTCCCATCTCCATGGGTGAGACAAAATATACGAATTACTTCGATATTTTAATTCCATACTTGTCTTTTTCATCCCATTTACGTACTTCAGGCTAAGGTTTGATTCAGACAACTCTAATCCTCACCCACCCAAGCCTGGAGGAATCTTGAGATTATCGAGATGTGAGCTGGAGACGCTTTGGCTATAACATTAGTACAGCAATGCGTTAAAAAAGTTCGAAAAATCAAAATCGGATTCCACAGGCACTAATCTGATTAAACAAGGCAGCGGATGTAGTTTGACTTTTTCAATAATTTGATTAAAGACGACCTTTTTGAACAAGGATCTTGTTTAATGTCCCCTAGGCTTTGCACTTTAAAAAAAGCCAAGGAAGAAATAAGGGCGATGATAAGGAATTGATCAAATAATCTTCTTTATTACTTCCATTATAGTTAACCCATCCTCAAAAAGACATTAAAAATCCCGATAATCAGTCTGGGGAGAGTTTAGTGTGAGCCAAAGAAGGGCAGGTGTTCTTATACGGATGCGTGTAAACGAGAAAAGTGCTTTGCTCAAAATTGGCCAAGCAATAATTGGTGTTCACGAACATTCGAGCTCAATATCGATTACTTTTTTTTGGGCGGGTGGCTGGCCAGTCAGGGTCAAACGATCTTGTCTCTCCCGCCAAAACGTCTTCGGAAGCAGGAAAGATCAACATACTTGGCTTTGTGAGAAAAAGGAAAGAAAACACGAAAGACTCGGTCCAGCATTAATCACATCAGACGGCTGGCCGAGCCTGGAGGTTCAGAATCGCTCGCGAAAACTGTTACTGGGCTTGTCAACATGGCCGGAAGAGAATTTAACCTCTGCTACCTCCGCCGCCGACGCGGAATGACCGGATGTCTGGCTGAAACGGAGGCAGGAGAGCAGACGATTGCCACGGTAAACACTCTTCTTTGAACTCCTTGGCAGGTTCTAGAAAGAGATCGATGCTGATTGGTGGTTTCCCACCTTCTGGCGCATCCCTCAGATGGCATGACAGAGCGTGTATATTCGTATAGCTGGGTTTCTTTAAAAAATGATGTTGGAGTCTGCGTTTCTTTACAAAATGTTTGTTATGTTTGCCTATATTCGTACTTATGTATACGTGTGTTTCTCAGTAAAGATGGTTGTAGATTGGTGTAAAAAGGTAACAGCAACAACAACAACAACAACAACATCAAACAAAAACAACAAGAACAACCCGCCCCCCCCAAAAGAACAACAACAAAACACCAATATCAGCAATTATATTTTTTGAATCCTTAACATTTTTGTTTTGTTTTCTTGAAACATTGGGTCTGAGACAATCGGTAAGCAAATTCAAAGGAGGACGGGTTTTTTCGAAACAAGATAGTCGTTTTCAGATCTTTAATTAATAGTTTCTGAAGCAGCATTTCTTTCTAGAACTTTACTTGCCTTTTTAACAATATCAATCTTCTTAATTTTCAGTTACTTCTCAGGCCTCTAGTTTGTTTTTCTGTCAGGAAATCTACGTGACAAAAAGCCAGTAGAACCTTAGGTGAAGAATACAAAACCCATGTAGTGTGAATATGTAGGGTGGTTTAGAAGTTTAGTTTCAGAAGTTTCATTGACGACCCAAATGACTTTTGTTGAGATATACACACACTAAATGAGAAATGCTATTGTAAATACATGACATGAACACACGCAATTACTAGAAACTATCAAAAAAGAAAGAAAGAAGCTTCTGAAAGCTTATATCCAAAAGTTCATGTATTAAAAGGTTCGGAAACTAAAGAATCTCTTAAAACCGACATCTTGACAGTATACGGGTTCCGAGCGCTACATTTTTCTCCGGTCGGCGTCAGAAACA